GTCAAATAAAAAGAAAGACATCAAAGACCAAGTCGTCTAGGCAACGACTCCTTAGTCGGTACCTTCTCAGGGTCGTGGTACCTATTCTGAGGCAACACCTTGGGCCTGTTCTGAGGCGGTGCCAGGATCTTGGTATCTTCTCAGGGTAAAACCAAGACACAACGACTCCTTAGTCGGTCATAAGACCATGGCGCTACCTCAGAACAGGCCTAAGGCGTAACGACTCCTCAGTCGGTCACAAGACCCTAGCGTCGCCTCAGGACAAGCCCAAGACGCAACGACCCCTCAGTCGGTCACAAGGCCTTGGCGCCACCTTAGGATAGGCCCAAGGTGCCATGACCCCTCAGTCGGTCACAAGGCCCTGGCGCTGCCTCAGAACAGGCCCAAGGCGCAACGACTCCTTAGTCAGTCATAAGATCCTGGCGCCGCCTCAGGACAGGCCCAAGGCGCCACGACCCCTCAGTCGGTCACAAGGTCCTAGCACCTCCTCAGGATAGGCCCAAGGCGCAACGACTCCTCAATCGGTATCAAGACCTTGGTATCTTCTCAGGGTAAAACCAAGATACAACGACTCCTCAGTCGGCACAAAGCCATTGGCTCTTCTTAAAGGTAAGCCCAAGGCACAACATATGGTTCGATTCCTTCTGCTCTCATCGTCCATAGTGGTCAACACCTTGGTACCTTCTCAGGGTAAAACCAAGGCACAACGATTCCTCAGTCGGCACAAAGCCTCTGGCTCTTCTTAAAGGTAAGCCCAAGACACAACATATGGTTTAATTCCTTCTGCTCTCATCGTCCATAGTGGTCAAGATCTTGGTACCTTCTCGGGGTAAAACCAAGTACAACGACTCCTCAGCCGGCACAAATCCCTTGGCTCTTCCTAAAGAATAAGTCCAAGGTAAAATGACTTCTCAGTCGGAACAAAGCCCTTGGCTCTTCATAAAGAATAAGTCCAAGGCAAAATGACTTCTCAGTCAGAACAAAGTCTTTGGCTCTTCTTAAAGAATAAGTCCAAGGCAAAACGGCTTCTCAGTCGGAACAAAGCCCTTGACTCTTCCTAAAGAATAAGTCCAAGGCAAAACGACTTCTCAGTCAGAACAAAGCTCTTGGCTCTTTATCTAAGAATCAACCAAGGCACAACGACTTCCTAGTCGGTTCCGAAGGACTTGGCTCCCAGTCAGGAGTAGCCTAAAGTACAAAGACTCCACAAATCGGCAATCAAATCTATAGTTCCCCACCTAGACAAACCAAAGACAAAACCCCAGAGTCAACTTTTATAAGTTATTTTCCGACCAAACAGGAAAAACAAAGACGTCGCCACTTATCCCGCATATGATATCTAATCTACAAAGACCAACATTCTTCTCAAAAAGAAAAATGGAGCCACAACATGATCAACTATTCTATCAAGCATTTGCAGTTCTCAAAAGCAGAAAACAGAATAAATCGTTTCTCATTCAGAAAGGAGTTTTGTACATTTTTTACCAAAAGGCCTAACAAGGCTTACAAAAAGAACTTCTCCTAAGGCTCAGAACCACTGTCCCAGTCGGCTCCTCTTTTACAGACCTCCATTGGTAGAGGAAGGACTATTGCTTCAGAGTCGGAGGAAGACGAGGAGGACCTTCCCATCTCCGGGAATTCCTCTCCGTCCAGAGCTCTGGACTCCTGAAGAGCGAGGTGATGCCGGAGCTTCTCAAGATCTCCAGCCTCGAGATCACTAAGAACCCTCGGCTCCAATACGCTCTCTTGCACTTCAGGCCAACCTGAGCAGGATAGTATGTCGTCGGTGCCGAACACCCAGATGAAGAACTTCTTCCATTCTTCATTCAGCTCAGTGAAATAGGTGTCCAAGCTGAAATCGCCTCGACAGTGAAAAAGATAGTGTGGGTCTCTGTTAACAGACCCCACACTAACCACGTGCCCAAGCAAACTAATGTTGGGCCCCACTCCTACCTCAGAGCAAGTGTCTATGAACGTCATCAAAGTATAAATGGCGTGTGGGTGAAATTAGCAGGGGGAAACCCCCAAAACCACAAAGACCTCCCTGACGAATGGATGCAACGACAGGCGCAGTCCACATTACAGATGCGCCAGATAGAGAGTCACTCGATCCTCCCCATGCATATGCACCGGAGTAAGGCTGTCCGGTGACCCCACAGTCATCGTCACACGAGAAATGTCATACTTATCATGCAACCAGTTTGCCTCATCCAAAGTCATCCTCGGCCTAGACAGATACAGGACCCTGAGTTTCCTCACGCGATCGTTCTGAGGAAAACCCATGATAAAAATCTCTTAGGAGGAAGGAAGAATTAACAATAAGAAATATTCCTGATGTAGAATGTTCCTTCAAAATAGCGCCAGGATTTATTTATAAACCTCCGAAGGAGCATGCTGGAGAATTCAAGATGCGCAATCCTGGAGTAACTGAGAAAGATCTATTTTGGAAATCGGAAACAAATCGCTCAAAAAGGCAACCCGCTACTCGTAGTAGCTTACGCCAACCAATTGGCAAGTAAAGGTGTCATTCACTCTACCCACAACGCCTCGTTTCCTTTGAAAAAAGTGGTTCCCAATACCGACATCATTAATCTACAGAAGATTGCGGTTAGCAAATCCCACGCCACGTCTCCAACCACGATCAACTGGCTAAAAAGTTTCAACACCCCAAGCAAACTCATACTTATTTCACTCGGACCCGACTAAAGTCAACTCCGAATGAAATGGGCAAACTGTTATGATAATTTACCATCTAAAGAGAAGTACCAAGAGATTATTTGCATAGGCTTTAAAAAGTCATGGTCCAAACCGGTTTTAGAGCACAGCCGAGGTCAAGTCTATTGGCCAATTGAGCAGACAAGCCATCTTTCGGCCAAGAGTTATCATGACCGACTAGAAGTGCGGGACCAGTCGGTCCCTCGTAATTAAGAAGACTCCTCGAGCAGACGTCTCGAGCATACACTATACCCAAAGCTCACTCGACTATCAGGTCGGCAAATCATAATGATGACTCGCAGATCAACCCGCCTCGACTAAAGGGATAAGATCTGACCAAGCTCACTTCAAATGTCAATCAACACAATAGCACTGATCAGTCCCATTGAGGTCTCTGCTCTGACAGATCCCCTGCATAAGCCGCTTATTCTACTCACAAGTCACTTCTCTGGGATCGCCATGATGCTCTTCTGGGCTCGAATAACTTCCCCTTCATTCACCAGCCGCCATCTGGAGGGGGAAGGACGACCGAGCAGTGGGCCTATCATCTTTCCTACCTCATCTGTCAAATCCAAGATACTAAGAGGACACCTCTCTCCTGTATTCGAATGACTTCCCTTCCAATCGCAAGCCGATATCTGGAAGGAGAAGGATGACTCAACCGCCTATCTACCCACCCTGCAACCGCCCTCCTGTTTAACATCTGAACTTTACTCCCCCCTTATTCTTGGCATAAAAAGAAATTCAACTCTTATAAAGGACCCCCTGCTAGGACCTCAATGGCCCAGGGACCTCCCAAAAAACCTCCCTCAAGCTCTCCAGCTGACTTGACCGTCGGAGGTACCACAGGGGAAACTAGCCCCGTACTCCTGCGATTCTCGCATGTGCAGGTTATCAGTCCACCCCGCACGCTCAAAATCAGGCGTAAAGTCGGAGGAGGAGTCAGCCCCACCTTTTATCCTCCGAGCCTCCATCATCAACGGAAGACCCTCATCGACTGTGTGTTCACGAACATCAACAAATTTGATCTAGTATATTCTTGAAAAAAGAAAAAGAAGAAAAAGAACAAATATTATAAATTATAACTTTACCCTTCAAATCACAATAGAAAGGGGTGATATGTCCTGCAGTAATTCATTTTTTTAATGCCTCACTTGGTTTTTTATATAATAGTATGGATGTTTGATATACACACAATGTAAATGATCACCTAAGACTATCAGCAGCAGATGGGCAAGATTTGCCATCCACCTCAGCTTATGTCCCCACCAATTCAATATTTAGCACCCTCTTTTCTTTCAGCTCCACAGTAGGAAGGCAAATATGTACTTTTTTACTTCATCTATACCCCACCATATTTTATCTTTCATCCACATCACTCTATCATATACCCCACCATATTTATTCATTCTACATTCATATTTATTTATTTCACATATGTTTTATAAATAATATATAATATTTAAAAATAGCATTAATTTTGCAATTAATAATATATAATTTTTTTTAAATGGCATTAATTAAATTTAAAAATTACTTAAAAAACAACACAACACACGATATTATTAATCATCAAACCAACTTAACATATATAAATTATTGAAACGTACCAGAAAAAACACACTAAACATTAGAAAATTAGAAAATAAAACTTTTAAATCTAATCGAGGGTTGCTCCAAATTTCTGCCAAATGTGCTCAACGAGATCCTTCTTCAACTGAATATGTTGGGCCCTATCACGAAGTTCTCCCCTGGTGTGAATGTCTGATTCGAATCGGCCTTGAACATGCACTTCAAACTCGGGTAACACTTGCGTTTGAGCATTGAAAGAGGAGCTAGAGGCAACATTGTTGGACTGTTCAAAGTCGAGATTCTCCTAGTTCCGTGAATACGTTTCTCGTTCATCATCTACTATCATATTATGTAAAATAATGCACGCCCTCATTATTTTACCTAAGACTTCAAGATCCCACATTCTAGCTGGTTGACGAATAATAGCGAAACGTGCCTGGAGAACGCCGAATGCACGTTACACGTCTTTCCTGCACGATTCCTGTTGTTTGGCAAACAATTGTGCTTTGTTGCCTTGGGGCATTTGAATTGACTGGACGAAGACAGGCCATTTAGGACAGATTCCATCAGCAAGATAATGCAAGATTGTATTCCCGCCCATTCACTGTGTAGTTTACCCGCGGAGCTTCACCCGACACAATATCGTCAAATACCGGTGACCTATCTAGTACATTTATGTCATTCAATGTACCAGGTAAACCAAAGAAAGCATGTCATATCCACAAATCATATGACACAACTGCTTCAAGGATAACTGTAGCGGTGCCCTTGTGTCCACTAGTAAATTGCCCTTGCGAAGCCTTAGGACAATTCTTACACTGCCAATGCATGCAATCGATACTTCCAACCATTCCAGGGAAACCACGCTCCTGACCAACTTGGAGTAACCTCTGCAAGTCTTCCACATTTGGTCGTCTCGAGTATTCATCTTCAAACAAGGCAATTACCCCGTCACAAAAATTTCGAGTACACTCAAGTGCAGTGGTTTCTCCTATCTTCACGTACTCATCACAAGCATCTGCTGCGACTCCATATGCCAGCATGCGTATGGTAGCTGTACACTTCTGGATAGGCGACAAACCAAGCTTTCCTGCACTATTGCGCCTTTGTGTGAAGTAGTTGTCGTAGTTTGACAAAGAGTCTACAATTCGTAGAAACAATGGCATTTTCATTCGATACCTTCGTCGGAATTGCATATCAGTGTATGTGCAGGACTCATCAAAGTAGTCTGCCATGAGCCTCTGATGAGCAGCTTCATGATTCCTATATATGGAGTTTCTCTTACGCGGTTGCTCGTTTCTACGTTGCAACTCTTCAAGAAGTTGTTGCTGCCTTTCGAGTATAGATTTTTGCAACTCCAACTGTTGTCGAAAGTATTCTTCGAAATTGAAGTCATTTGGGGGTAGATCCATTGGTGGATAAGTGTTGATAATGAGTGGTTTTCATCTGATGTGTGGTTTCCTATTTATAATGAATGACCTCCGGATTCCAATCAGTTTATTTAACAATATTGAATGAAAAGTTTAGTGGGTAGAGTAGTCACGTTCAATGTCAGAAGTTAGTGGGTAGAGTAGTCACGTTCAATTTTTGTAATATAGTGGATAGACAAGTCACGTTCAATGTCAGAAGTTAGTGGGTAGAGTAGTCATGTTCAATTTTTGTAATATAGTGGATAGACAAGTCACATTCAATGTCAGAAGTTAGTGGGTGGAATAGTCACGTTCAATTTCAGAAGCATGAAACACACATTACAATAATTGAAACAATAGTGCAACACAGATTATGCAAATTTTTCTTCAAACAACTCCTTCTTCAACATCCTATATGCATATTCATCTTCATCATCCCGATCTTCTTTGTTCTTCAAGATCATCCACATTTTCATCTTCTCAATACGTGCAACTTCCTTCTGACCTGCAGCAAACTCCAGCATGGCGGAAACAGTATTAGCCATGTTCTGTTCAATGTTGTCATTCTTAGAGGTTAATTTCGACAACTCCTCTTCAATGGAGAATTTTGCTTTTCTAGAAGTGGATGCTTTACTTGAGGAAGCTTTAGATTTCTTCTTCGATGCATCTCTCCCCTCTGGACGTACAAGTGAGGGGAAAGGAGATTCAACGTCCTCACCACTACTTTTTCTTTTAGATCCACTACTGCCAGATTCATTTGCTCCTGTCATATATTTTGGTTGATGACGAACTAGCTTCCACTCATCCAACAACGTAAACCTCGCATTTTCATTCTCTTGGTACAACTCTACAGCCTTGGATATGTAATTCTCATCGGACCAACCGCTTCGCCTCTCCTTGCATGCAGCACGATAACAACCAACAAAGCTGCTTATCTTTTTATTCAAATGTCGAAAATGAGCAGAACACCGCCCTGAAGTCCTCTGTTTCCCACTTTGTGTGCGCTCGTTCACATAGTCTGTAATTTTACCCCAGAAAGTATCGCCCTTTTGATTTATCCCCAATTCACTGTCATTGCTAACATGAAAATAAGCCGTTAGTAAGATTTTGTTCTCCTCGGTGCTCCAAGTATCGTAACTTGTTCTCTTGGCTGATTGTTGAGTTGGTGGTAGAAAACTATGGGGAGTATCCCCTCCAGCAGTTTCCAACGAAATCTGGGTGGAAAATTCTGGAATATCAGTCGATCCGCTACTGAAACGGGGTGTGTTTGGATCAATAGTCGGATCTGTGCTTGGATCATTCATGTGGCCTGGAACATAGCTATTTCCAGTGACTGGTGGATAGCCATATGGCATATAAGGATGGTTGTATGGGTATTGCATGCCAAAATTTTGTGGCATCATATACGGCATTGGAAAATTGGGGTGCAGCCCCATATTCTGAGTACTTTCCGGGCGTTGCATATTTGGATTTTGAGGTTGCATATTCGAATTCTGGGGTTGGTTGGGAAAGTTGTAGTTCATGGAAAAATTAAAATTTTGTGAAGGATCCATGAAGAAGGATGAAGATTCTAAAAAATAATGAAAATAGGGTGTAAAAAACTCGAATTTTTTTTGTTGTCCAAATGACACAAACTTAGGCTCTATTTATAGAGCTCGAAAAATGAAAAATATTGATATAAAAATTAAATATCAATTTCAGTCAATTATGGGCCAAAATAATAAATTAAATAATATTTATTTTAGTACACTGGTGGACCGTGCTTTTCTTTTACTTTTTTTTTTATTTCTAGTACACTGGTGAGACCGTGCTGTGCTTTTAATTTTTTTTTTTGATTTCTAGTACACTGGTGGGACCCACACATTTAGATTTGCCCATGGGCAATTTTTGCTCTCCAAAACTTTCTCTCTCCGGTTGCTTTCCATTTGCTTCCCTGCTGTACAAAATATTTCCTCATTTGTGAAAAGTTTAGTGGGTAGACTAGTCACATTCAATGTCAGAAGTTAGTGGGTAGAGTAGCTACGTTCAATTTTTGTAATATAGTGGATAGACAAGTCACGTTCAATGTCAGAAGTTAGTGGGTAGAGTAGTCACGTTCAATTTTTGTAATATAGTGGATAGACAAGTCACATTCAATGTCAGAAGTTAGTGGGTAGAGTAGTCACGTTCAATTTTTGTAATATAGTAGATAGACAAGTCATATTCAATGTCAGAAGTTAGTGGGTAGAGTAGTCGCATTCAATGTCGGAAGTTAGTGGATAGACTAGTCGCTTTCATTTCAAACAAACACTTTTATTCAAACGAACATACATTTTTATTCAAACAAACACTCAAAGCATGAAACACACGTTACAGAAATTGAAACAATAGTTGCAACACAGATTATGCAAATTATTCTCCAAACAACTCCTTCAACATCCTATATGCATATTCATCTTCATCATCCTGATCTTCTTTGTTCTTCAAGATCATCCACATTTCCAGCTTCTTAGCACGTGCAACTTCCTTTTGACCTGCAGCAAACTCCAGCATGGCAGAAACAGTAGTAGCCATGGACTGTTCAATGTTTTCACTCTTAGAGGCTAATTTCGACAACTCCTCTTCAATGGAGATTTTTGATTTTCTAGAAGTGGATGATTTACTTCTAGAAGCTTTAGATTTTTTCTTTACTGCATCCCTCCCCTCTGGACGTACAAGTGAGGGAAAAGGGGATTCAACATCCCCACCACTACTTTTTCTTTTAGATCCACTACTGCCAGATTCATTTGCTCCTGTCATATATTTTGGTTGATGACGAATCAGCTTCCACTCATCCAACAAAGTAAATCTCACATGTTCGTTCTCATGGTACAACTCTATAGCCTTGGATATGTAATTATCATCGGACCAACCGCTTCGCCTCTCCTTGCATGCAACACGATAACAACCAACAAAGCTGCTTATCTTTTTATTCAAATGTCGAAAATGACTTGAACCCCGCCCTAAAGTCCTCTGTTTCCCACTTTGTGTGCGCTCATTCACGTAGTTTATAATTTTACCCTAGAAAGTATCGCCCTTTTGATTTGTCCCCAATTCAGTGTCATTACTAACGTGAAAAAAAGCCGTTAGTAAGATTTTGTTCTCTTCGATGCTCCAAGTATCGTAACTTGTTCTCTTGGCTGACTGTTAGGCTGGTGATAGAAAACTATGGGGAGTATCCCCACCAGCAGTTCCCAACGATATCTGGGTTGAAAATTCAGGGATATCAGTCGATCCGCTACTAAAACGGGGTGTGTTTGGATCAACATCCGGATCCGTGCTTGGATCATTCATGTAGGATGGAACATAGCTATTTCCAATGACTGATTGATAGCCATATGGCATATAAGGATGGTTGTATGGGTATTGCATGCCAAAATTTTGTGGCATCAGATATGGCATTTGAAAATTAGGGTGCATCCCCATATTCTGAGTACTTTCCAGACGTTGCATATTTGCATTTTAAGGTTGCATATTCGGATTTTAGGGTTAGTTGGAAAAATTGTAGTTCAAATTAAAGTTTTGTGAAGGATTCATGAAGGAGGATGAAGATTGCAAAAAGGAACGAAAATAGGGTGTAAAAATCTTAGATTTTTTTTTGTCCAAATGACACAAACTAAAAGGCTCTATTTATAGAGCTTGAAAAATGAAAAATATTGATGTAAAAATAAAAAATTAATTTCAATTAATTATGGGCCAAAATATTAAATAAAAAAATAGGAGGATAAGAAAATTAGTAAAAAATTAATTTCAATTAATTATGGGCCAAAATATTAAATAAAAAAATAGGAGGATAAGAAAATTAGTCGGACCAATAAGATTGCGACACGTCTGCACCTGCTAGGCCTGCAGCAGACCTGTCAGACGCATGGGTTCACAAGTGTGGGGCTGAGTTTTCAGATTTGCCCATTGGCAAATTTTGCCTTCCAATTCACTCTCTCTCCGGTTGCCATCCAAATTGCTCTACTGCTGCATCTAATATTTTCAGATTTGCTCTTCTATTGCGGCTGGTCTAAAATCATAGTTCTGAACTGAGTATGTGTGTTAGAACGAACCTCAGCGACGTATGGATAGTGCTTTAAATTAAAACATGTTGCATGCGTGCCTGAATAAATTTGAAAAACATGATCTGAATCCATGTAGAAAAACATGTTGCATGGATAGTGCTTTACATCTTAAAAGAGCTCATCATGAGTTCATCCTCGAAACATTTAGTTGTCGAGCGAACGTCATCTTGTTCAGAGTTGTAGCTTTTATCATGCTGCGCTAAATTGAGGTGTTTTCTTATAAAGAAACGAGAGATAATTATAGTAGAATAAATTGGTTGTCGACAACATCAGATGCACTCTCGAGCATATTTCAGAAAGCAACAAGATCTAGGGTTCAACAAATGCAGTATTCCCTGCATTCCCTTTTGTTTTTTTAAGGGATTTTTGACACGACGAAGATTTCATTTCATACGGTATATCTCAGAATTTTCTTTGCGGCTCGTTTCAATCTTCAAAATTAAAAAACAAATTAGAAAAGAAATTTTGAAGAAAAAAAAATAGAACGTGACATGGGATTTATTTAGGGCAAACGAGGGAGCGATCAGAACCTGTCGGGATTCATGAATAACATCACTTAAATCAGTGGATTGACAGACCATGAATTTCATCGTCACTTCGCCCCCAACATCTCAATTTACCAAAAATTTTAGTCAAGAAAACACCACAATAAAAAAATCCAGAGTAATAAAAATGGCTCAGAACTTCTTAGAGGGATGTGTTGCCGACACCGACCTGTAATAACCAGTCTCAGGCACACGAATATTTTCCTCATCGCCAACCCCAACATGAAAATAAATTATAAGATGAGAAATAAAATTTCAGAAAAAAGAAAGGGAAAATAGGAGCTAGAAGAGAAAAAAAAAATCAAAGCTGCGGCTTGAGAAAGAAGAACGAGCTGTTACGAAGGGGTTAGGTCTGGTATTTATCGGGGATCGCGATGGAGGAAGGAAACCCTAACTTCTTCATAATTGAGATGGACGAATCTGAACCGTCAAATCCAAAGAGTCTTACTAAGCCCCATACACGCGCGGGTGCTGTACGCGGAGATTATTTTCTACCGCGATACAAACAGGGGCGAAAATAGTTCACACTTATCATGTCTCTATATGTTTCACCAATCATAGGCACAAATATGTGTATCGATTAAGAAAATTCACATTCATATTTATTAAAATTCAAAAATAAATATGAATATACATACAGATATATAAACGGATATGAGAATATGAAAACAATATAGTTTACATGATACAAGAAGGCTCTTTAATATGTTCGTCATATGTGAAACGTGAAGATTAAATCTCTTGATAATCAAGATTTACCTTAAATCCACTAATACAAAAATTAAAAATATTGCCCAAATACAAGTAGTATTGCTCCTACAAAAATTTTTAAGCAATATACATATTATTTTTCATCGGATAAAAATTTTAAGCAATATACAAGTAGTATTGATGTCTACCACATATACACTGATTTAGATATTTTACTATATTCATATTATTTTTCATCGGATAAAAATTTTAAGCAATATACAAGTAGTATTGCTGTCTACCACATATACACTGATTTATTATTTATAATATAATTATATATATATTATATATAAATTATATATCATATATATTATATATATTCATATATATATATAATATATACTTATATATAAGAGAGAGACCGAGATGAGAGAGAAGAGAGATTAAACTTCTTATCCATTATGGATAGATGCCTTGGGCCACCAAAAATTTTTTATTCACTCATCTTGTTCAGATTTGTGCCATCAAAAGATGCACAATATCTTAAAAAATTCTTTATTCTATCCGACCCAATTCAAATATAACGCTGTTAAAAACAGTGTCAGAGACTTATTCCTTATACACTTAAGTTGACATAACTTTTACTATATACTATAAATATATATATATAATATATTATATATATTATGAGAACAATTCAAAGTGCGAACAAATTCACATGAGTAGTTGAGTGCCGATAGAATGTGACACACACTACCAAGCACAAAAATTGTGCTTGGTACCAAGATACCCAGATCTCTCTCTCTCTCTCTCTCTCTCTTCTCATATTTATATATAATTATATATCATATATATATATATATATATATATATTAAATAATATTATATATATATATATATATATATATATATAATATGAGCATTAATGGGTATCCTTGTCAAAAGGAGCGGATTCCTCCTTGACGCCTCTAAAATCACATGATTTGAGCGCATATGTGCATGATGCTCCGGCTTCGTTGAACTTATTCTACATATTCTAAACCCCAACACACCAATTTTGGGGTAAACCCGTCGCTCGTTGACCTCCATCACTCGTATCAATTTTAACGCCGTTTTGAATGAATTGAACTTTTCACATGGCTTGATGAGGGTCAATACGACGACGCGCATTCACCCCAAAACTTGGTGTTTTGTTTTAATATGTAGCATCAAGTTCAACGTGAGCGGTCGATCACAATGTCTGCTGCAATCAGATGCTATTTTTAAGCGCTCAAGTCCGAGAAAAATCCCCTCCCATATGACAATGGATATCATTAATCATCATATATAATACTATATATATATATATAGATATATAATATATTATAATATATATATATATATATATATATATATATAATATATATATATATATATATATATATATATAATATAATATATAATGATGCTCGTACCAAGCCACAAATTTTGTGTTATATGTAAGTGTCAAATCCCCTCCACTCATTCAATATGCGGATGCAAATTCGATAAGGTTACATGATGGATGAGAGTGGACACTATCAACTAGCAACGCACAGAAATTTTGCTTCGAGTCACAAGCATTACCCATATTTCTCATATAGAGGTGATACTATATATAATATATTATATATATATATTATATATATATATATATATATAGAGCGAATATGGCGTATCTTGGGCAAGCGATCCTTGTAGTGATGTGCACACATCTTGTCCATTACTCACACCTGGAGTTGTAGGCTCCATCTTCTAGGTGTGAGTTAGGACAAGATGTGTCCACACACTACCAAGATCCTTGAGCGTACCAAAGTTAACCATTTTCCATAATATATATATATATATATATATAATATTATATATATATATATATATATATTATAATTAGTAAAACTATGGTCAAACTTAAGTGGATAGGGAATAGTGTGTCCACCAAAGTTTTTAACCACTCATATTACCTAGGGATCCTTGTATTATATAAAAAGGTGTTTTATATTAATAAATGTGTGACTACAAATTTTGGTGAACATTAACTTAAGTTGATAGGAGTCTTGCTCTCTCTCTATATATATATATAGAAGAGAAACTTATGTCAACTTAAGTATATAATCGGATAAATATTTTAATAACAATACCTACATCCTAATGAATTCAGTCACATATATTCCCTAAATACAAGTAGTATTGCTCCTACAAAAACTGAAAGTGGCCATCAACTAGAATTTATGTCGGTAGACAGCAGCAACTTGTATGGCCATATTATTTTTTTTCGGGGGGAAAAATCTGTAATTTGAATTATATGTTTTTTATTTGTTTTTAAGCAATATAACTTAATGTGTTAATATGTCAGAAGTTAATACTTTTTAGAACAAAGTGCCAAATGCATGTACGCTATCCAACAAGTAAGCAATATGTCACAAATTTTCAATTCCATAGATGATCATGATATTATACATATGAAGAAATATCACATGTCAAATAATCAAAAAATTTAAGCCGTTTATAGTGAAATTTGTAATATAAATCGACGAAAAGCATTAGAACTGACTAAAGATGCAATTAGTATTTAACGTCCAATGAAACGATAAATATAACAATGGCACGGAGCTAGCTACATCAGAAGTAGGTCAAGTTCGCTGCCTGGATTTCTAATTTTTGCCAATGCTATTCAATATAAATAGTGATTTACAACCAAGCAAAAAAAGATGCTCGGACTATGTCAATGCTGGTACTTGCTGGACAAATTTTCAAAACCGACCCTTTTGGGGTTTTAATTGCAAAAAACGACCCATTTTAATCTTATTTATAAAAACCGACCCAGTTGGTTAAAACTGGGTCGGTTTTTGAAAAAAAAATTTCCCAAACTTCACGGGAATTCAACTCCCGTGAAGTTTCCCAAAAAAAATTAAAAAAACCGATCTGTTTTCAGCCCCTGGCTGAAAACAGGTCGGTTTTTGTAAATATTTTTAAAACCGGTCGTTTTTTGCAATTAAAAACCCAAAAGGGTCGGTTTTGAAAATTTGTCCGGTACTTGCTTCACAGGCTACCAATTTTAGCCCCTGAACTTGAGAACGCCTTCGGCCCTCCATACAGAATGTTTATATTTCATAGGATTATTGCAGAAACATCACTCGGTCTTTGATCAATCAAACCATTTATATTCCAAACATAAATTATGTTACCACTTACAGCCTTCAAATCGTAGGTGTTGTTTCCCCATTACAACTTACAGCATAGATATATCACGTGGGAATGATAAGTTACCATCTTCCCTCCATTGAATTGAAACATTAATTTAACGGTCTTTTAAATTAACGCAAAATTGTACAATCATACAATTCACCACCATTATACACTTTCATTACAAACCCTTGATTACACAAAGAAAAAAAAATAGGATTAAACAATGCCTATTGGCATAACCCCTGTTGGAGGCTACTTGAAAATAATGAAGCCATGTAAAGATCGAGGGAGTTACAATTTGCAAACCATAACAGCAATTTCTCCAGTGGAATACACTGGATGTTTTGCACTGGCGGGAACATCACACAACGGTATCATAGAAATACTCGTGCATAATGCAAGTACATCGAAGCTGTAGAATACTAAAATACATCTGATGTGAAGTAAAATATTGCAACCCACATCGTGATAGAATGTACAACTTCTCTTGCAAAGTATCAATTCAGGACAAAGTCTTGTGCAAATAAAAGATGAAAATAAAACTCAACATAAGCATTCAATTGAATGAAGCCACTAAGACAGCACAACTGCGATCCCAAAACACTTGCAAGAAACTAACGTGAATCCACAAGCCTATCTTGGAGTTTTCAAGATTTTCAAATACATGCATATAGCACATCCACCCAAATTGTATCAATATAAAGATAAGCAATTTGTTTCTCACATTAAAAAATCTTCTCTGCTACTGTGATTTTCATGGAAGTGGAAGTTAGCGAACAATATTAGATCCTCTTATTATATTCCATAACCAATAGTTAACCTAGAATTAGGTTCGACGCAGCTTGGCAGGGGAAAAAACAGTCTGCCATTGGAACTGTGAATAAACAGATTGAACAATGGGGCCTCTTTATCAATATCACAAGAAATAAAATTCACAACTCAGATAAGAAGAATCTATCGACAAAATAGGTAACATGCAGGGTAGAAAACTGTGTAATGGCTTAAATTCAACACTACAAGAGAGATTTATTTCAAGTAGCATAATGTATGGATGGGTGGGTGCTGCACATTAGAAGATTTGAACTTGAGTGTGTAAGGTAATTATGGAATTGGAAATATGTTCCCCGTCAAAAGAATGCAAATTGTAATAAAAAATAGGACGATATAGAAGAGGGAGGGAGAGGCAAATAATTGACTTTCAATCTGAACAAGAATAGTTTATTGTATAATCCATTATTTCCCATCACTGAAAGATGCTACTCACAGAACAATCATCATGAACACGCCATATGGTCTCGCCTAGAAGATTTGCCACGGAAAGAACAGTCAGTTGTGGGAAATTCTTTTGCTCCATAACCGGGATAGTATTGGTGATAATGACTTCTTGGAACAGACCACTTGATAACCTCTCTATTGCAGGAGGACTGTGAATGGAAATAAATGAGTTAAATGGAAGGCAGATAGTTAATGGTAATTTGCAAATTTACAGTATGTAACAATTACCAATGCTATAATAAGTCACAAAAATAAATTAAAAATGTACAGAAGAATATGAAGCCATGAAACAGAGGAAAAACACAAAAAACAATATACAAGCAATCATTTTCTTTTCATGGTTTGCCAAAAAAACAAAAGGAAACTTTGAGATAGTGTACATTCCTCTATTATGGTGGTTATTGCCAAAAATGACTCTTCCAAAGTGATTTGATTTCAATGTAACATAGCAAGTGTTTGGGGAGAAAACATGACATTAGAACATGATAACACCAAGATGCCATCTGCTAGCCTCTAATAGATGTAGTTATGAACCAGCTCTGCTCTAGTTCCAATATGGTTATAAAAAGTAGTCACTCCACTCTCCATGTGCAAGATATAAACTTGATGACAAAATAAAGAAAGATATACCAAAAAAATATTATAGCTGTACCACTTCGTAAATGTATTGTTAGTCGAACAATCAAGGAGATAGGAAAAGAGAAGGATGATCAGTCCTTAAGTGGTGTTATACTGTTATATACAACATTTTGCATGAAAATAACAATAATTATGTCCAATCCCTAAGATGAACAAAGCAGTTGCAGCTGGCACATAACTTAGATGAGGGAATTGCTCAGTATAAATCAGTTAGTAACATTAAATTAGGTGTAACCTATCAGTATCAGATCACTCAACGAACATTTCATTCGCTACATGAAATTTTGATAATCCATAAGATGGAGTAGGCGAATACCTGAAAACAGCATGTGTGCTGCAAGCATAAACTTCTCTAGCTCCCTCTTGGTGTAAAAGCTCTGCACCTTTTGTAATTGTCCCTAATATCAACAAATATATCAAAGGTTAACATTTCATTAAATAAAATAGGATAGATAGATCGCAAAATGTTAAACACTACATAGTTAGTTTTTGAAGGTGCATGCTGCAGCATGACTGCTTAACATATAAACAGCATGTTTATGGACAAGACTGGGCGAAATAGTATGATAATCTTCTACAACAAAAACAGGATGTAGCTAGAGAGAAAGAAAAGAAAGGGTGCAGATATTTTAGGCATAATGATGGAATTTATATTCCTAGAGAAAACAAACTCAACTTACCAGCAGTATCAATCATATCGTCAACCACAACAGCAACTTTCCCTCTGACATCCCCTATCAGATTCATAACCTGTATGTACAAAAGATAGTAAAATATTAGTAGATAGATTGATACAACCATATTATCTCCTAATTGATAAGCATGTACATAGCAGGTAATCATACAGTTTAAATTAATAAGAGGAAGCATTTGGATCCAAGAGACTTGCTGCTAACTTGTAAGTACAGGTAAAGGATTGCCTTCAAAATGGTCTCAAACCTGGGTGAAAAAATTGAATACAAAAATACAAGTTTCCTTTTCTTTCTAACTAACACTAACTTGTTTTAATAAGTTAACATAAAGCAGGATACCACTAAGCCTAAGCTATGAAGAATATTTCTTTCCAAGGGCAATCTACTAAGTTAACATAAAGCAGGATACCACTAAGCCTAAGCTATGAAGAATATTTCTTTCCAAGGGCAATCTATTTGCATTCTACTACCTCAGCAACATTGTGGCCTAAGCTATGAAGAATATTTCTTTCCAAGGGCAATCTATTTGCATTCTACTACCTCAGCAACATTGTGCCCATGACGCCTTTTATCCACAATGGCGAGAGGAGCATCTGACAACTTCTTGGCAAAAGCACGAGCCCTGGCCACACCTCCAACATCTGGAGATACTACAACTAGATCATCTGAACAGATGGTCTTGCTGGCTAGGTAATCAAGAATCACAGGCTAGAAGTACAAAAGCAAACAATTGTGATTAGTTGGAAAGGGAGTTACGCCATTCTGTAGTTCTCAAAACAACTTATCCAACAGATTATGTGAGAGTTACCTGACCATAGACATGATCCACTGGAATATCAAAATATCCCATGGACTGCCCAGAATGAAGATCACATGCGAGTACACGGTTTGCACCTGCTTCTGTGATCAAATTTGCAACAAGTTTTGCTGCAATTGATTCACGTCCTTGCGTCTGAGAAAACAATTTAATCAATAGGGAAACTATAAGTTCTAAAAAAAATATACCCAAACAAGGATGACTAATAAACAATTTACATGCAAAAGCAGAATATTATAAATAAAATTTCAATAACAATGAGAAGGTGCAAAAAATTCCTAGAAAAAACTGAACAATGCATTGTTCAGTAAAACAACGAGCCTACCTTTCTATCAGCTCTAGCATAACCAAAATAAGGTATAACAGCGGTGATATTCTTTGCAGATGCTCGCCGGCATGCATCAATCATTACCAAAAGCTCCATGAGATTCTCATTAGCTGGGGGGCATGTTGGTTGTACAAGGAACACATCGCATCCTCTGACACTCTCTTGCAACTGGACATATATTTCCCCATCAGCAAACCTCTTGATCATGATTTTCCCAAGATCCAGGCCCAAGTAGCTAGCAATTTCCTACAAAGACATTATTTAGAATCATTACAATCTTCTCATGCCATGATTTCAATGATTGAAAAATACAAGAGATGTATTCTTGAAAAACAGAAAGGCAAGAGGAAATTCCAGGAGTTAAAACAAAATTAAGGGAGAAAATAGAGAGTTTAGATAACCAACGTCAACAAGAAACAACTTCACATAATTCTAACAGACATCAGTTCTCTTTCAATGACCAACCATGTCATTATCTGTCTTATGTATCTAATTTGTGATGCAAGGGAACTGGTAACAGTCCTTATGGGCAACATTTTTCATCTGCATACCACACAACAGCCAGTGGGAAATTGGCCATAGTTAAATTATGATGTAAAGGAAGCTGACAAAACAGCATGAAGTCCAGCACACAGCAACCAAAATATTATATCTAGCCACTACACAAAGGTAGAGGTGGGCCATCTAGTCAAGAATTAAAAGCCAATCAAACTTTGCTCATGATCAATATCGGAAAATAGGGTTGGAAAAAAAAATCAAATGGCATACTAAGGTGAATTCGGAACCAAATATCCTCGTCTGAATTTCTTCAAATGTGAATCTGAACTCGATCATTCTATTATTGATTGTTTAATATTTTACAGTTTTAAAATATCAATTTACTATTAATAATACACTTTAATTTGGTCAAAGAGATACTTCTATTTTTCTAATTGATATCTTTTCGTCAACTAATCAAACTTAAGACTTTTTCCAATCAATCAATTGAACCTATTGCTCTTTATCCTTGATATGCCACATATGGATACATACAAACACATAAATATATACATCTCTACATTTTTTTTCTTTCATGTCCTGCGTCCTATATGCATGTCCATGTTGTAAGTTGTGAGCCCCCCCAACGAACTATGTTGCAATGGTTCACATACAATACATGGGCATGATAGAGAAGTATGAACCCCAAAAGCATAAGCTTAGTAGGTCTTGCACAAGGAGTGGATCATATTCACATTTCCCTTCTCAGGAGTGAAACCAATCCAAATAGCTATCCTGATTAAGCTCATAGAGAATTCAAGTATTTTTTTTTTAACTTTATATTCACATTTATAAAGATATCAATAAAGAAGTACACAAATTCATGAATAAGCAAAGCTAGCATAAACCTTAGCAACCTGTACAAAAATACGATCCTATCAACAAAAGCATAAAACGTGTTAATTTACCTCACCTTCCTTATTACAAAAAGAACAAGCTAAAATTCTCAATGTAAATCCACAAAATACAATTGGTTAATAAATGAATAGAAAATTTTGTCTTTTCACCTGAGAAAGAGCGGGATTAGCAGTCCCAGAGAAAATCCTAAGCCTGGATTCGTGCTTGCTGCCGAAATCTTGAAGCCTCGGCGACGTAAGGAAGCCCGACATCGAATGACCGTTGATCATCGGAATACACGGAGGCGGCGCCGCCGCCGCCGCCCCGTTCCCATACTTGAGCGGTTCCATACTCTTACAACTCTGCAATCAACCAACACTCAAAATTTTAAGTCTTTAATCTTAACAAGTCCATTAAAAAATCTTAAAAAAAATAAGAAATTGAAGCAAGAAAGGCCATCAACCACGGTGAAAAGGGGGGACGATGTGAAGTGGCGCTGGCGACGGAGGTGCTCGGCCGGCGCGATGACGCCGGAGCTCTGGCACACAATCGAAGCCATCTCTCTCCTAATCGACCGATCGATGGAATTCTGAAAAGAGCGAGAAATTAGAAGCTAGGGTTTGAGAATCGAGATGAAGCGAACGCGGACGCTTAAATGTGCAAGCCCGCGGCGATTCCTTATTTAGCTCCTTTTCCTTTTATGACCTTTTTATAATAATCCTGAAATCGACAGCCAAGTGATTGCTGAATTAGGAACCCGATCCATCCGTAGATCCGAAACTGGGTCAAGTACGGGCTTGATTTGTGAAAAAAGTCGGCCCAATAGAAATTAGCCGATTTTAATCTAACAAGACATTTTTTTTTCTTTATTCTTTCTTTTGTTTTCTTTAAATAAATTAAATAACAATAAGTTTTCTTTCCCATAATTTAGGCCAAAGTTTGTTTGGACGTTTCACTAACTAAAACAACGTAAATGCTTATCGTGGATAGGTGACATGGCTAAGATATCGTTCTTCTAACCACAAGCAACTTACTATAAGCCATACCAAATTAGTTCCAAGAGAGGTTAATTATAGGCAAAACAAAGCAGAAACGTACTCATATTAACCCCTAAAAAAAGAACATGTCATGTATAGTTTAAGGGCTGAAATACCAATTTAGCTTATAAAGTGACATACTCTGACCAATAAGGTCTAAAAAGTAACGCCGGTGACAATAATACATATAAATTGGCACAGTTAACCAATTAAACCTATTCCGGTCATCGAAATTTTGGTTTGACGGGAGAAAATATAAATTTTTTGCATATATACCCCTCAAAATTTCAAAGATTTAAGGGACTAAAATCCAAAAAATAAAAATAAAACTTTTTTTATGTTTCTCTTTAAGAAAAACAAATCAATTCTTATATATCATCCCTAAGAATGTTTAATAATTCTCTAGTAAGTAATGCTAATAAATAATCGTGCTAATGACAGCTATGGTGCAAAATTCTTTCGTAATATACATCTTATGGCTTTGCATTCTTGTATCACTATATCATAAAATGGTGATAGTAATAAGTAAATTTATGGAGTAATATTATACATTTAATTTATTTTTATTAATAATCATATTTTTAAAATTTTCAATTATACTTTGATAGGAATTTACCGGTAAGTTTTATTTTATTGATAGACATGCTTACATAAATATTGGGGGCTTTTATGGACTTGCCAATGTTATTGGAGGTCAAGTTATATTTTGAAAAGCTTTTAGCGGTTAAGTGAAAAACAACCAAATTTATGAAATTTGCATAAAGTTATCCGGGGTTTAATGAAATTTAGCCTTATGTAATTTGACTAAAGTATGAAAATTATATTTATGATTAATTTTATTTTATATGAAGAA